CTTCCCCTTCTGGCAATTTGTTGAAATGAAGCTCACTGTGAAGACCCTCAAAGGAAGCCACTTTGAAATTAGGGTTCAGCCCACCGACACCGTAAGTTCTAACCTTTCCTTTTTCGTTTGTTTTAACCTTCTCCATTGCTTCATATCAATATTTGGGCTTGTAGTTAATTTATTAATGTACCCGAGTATGCCAGCATTGACCTAGCTGGAAATCTTGAGCTTAGTTTAATTGTTTTTTTCTTTAATATAATTGGAATAGTGGAAACTACCGGTGGAATTGTTTTGGAATTGAAAAGATTTTTAAATTAGGGTTTCTTGTGCTACTTAATCTGGGAGTTGCTTTTCTTTCTGAATGACGATCGCATAATGTTTTTTTTTTAAAAAAAAAAAAATACTTTTTATTTGAATTGTTCGTGATCTGCTGGATTTGCATTGCTGAACACAAGTTGGAGAAGTCTAAGATATCATGAAGTGTACTGTTCTTGTTGGGGACGTTTTAGTGTAGAAGCTAACTAAGTATTGTTCTTGATCATTTGATGTAACCCACCATTTGTAATCTAGAAAGTTGTAGAAATGATTTTAAATCCTACAATTTGAAATCTGAGAAATGGTTTTAAACTCTTTATTTGTTTTTGGAACGATGAATGTAATTAAAATTTTTGTTTGAATGGTAGCTGGAAAAGAACAAAAAATAATACTTCTACCTATATAGGCTTTTAATCTTGATTTATATTAAAAAATTAACGTTTGCCAAGGTTTATTAAGTAACTTAACTCAAAATTCTATGAAATCATTCAAAATTTGATCATTTTTATCAGAAAATTTTTCTGATTACAAATGTTCGAATTTATTCGAAATCGTGAGCAACAAAATAAACTGATTTTATTTTTTCCTTTTATTTATTTTATTTCTAAGTGAAACTTCTGGTGAAGGTGATGGCTGTGAAGAAAAATATTGAAGATATACAAGGAAAGGATAATTATCCTTGTGGTCAACAATTATTGATACACAATGGCAAAGTTCTGAAAGATGAAAGTACACTGGTAGAAAACAAAGTATCTGAAGAGGGTTTTCTTGTTGTCATGCTCAGCAAGGTATCTTTGGTCCTGCAATTTTCTTAATATAAGAAGCACTAAACAAATGTTTTCTTTTTTTTTGGATTTTAGTGGATGACTGAAATGTGAAATATGGTTATGCTTAATTGTATGCATTTGTGTCTTCTGCAGAGCAAAACATCAGGCTCGGCAGGGCAGTCGTCAACTCAGGTAATGTTGCTCATTTTTTGTTGCAAGTTGTTTATGATTCTTTAATGCTAACCTCCTCTGGATCCTATTTATTGCAGCCTGCTCAAAGCACCCCTGTTGCTCAACCAATTTTAAATTCGACTCCTGCTACCCATGTTACACCATCGCCAACTCCTGCACCTCAAGCTTCCACCCAAGCACATTTGTCGTTAGTTTTTCAAGAATGGTCTTCTGTATGCCTTTTCCCTTGATCAGTTGAGTAATTATAATCCATATGCATTTTTTTGTTCTTGTTTTGCAGTGCCCCCAAGAACACTACGTCTACTTCAGACAGGGTGACAGATAGGTATGGCTTCTATTTCGTATTCATATTTTTTAACTTCAATAGGCATGAAATTGGTTAGTAAGTCACCTTCTATTTCCTAGTATTAAATCTATTCTGCAACATAACACATATCAAACCTGGTAAAAGCTACAGACTGAATTACTTTTATAGGAGTTTTTGATTATTAAGTATTGAGTAATACGTTTCCTCCTCTTTTGCTTTATTTATAAATGAAGCATTTTTCCTACTGGTGGGAAAGTTTCTCATTCTTTTTTTTTTTTTTTTCA